TTTTTTTTTTTTTTTTTTTTTTTTTTTTTTTGTCGTTGTTATTATTATGTGTGTGTGTGTGTGTTTTTATTGTGAACAACTCTTTAAGTTTGAAAGAAGAGAGACGAGTTCAAAAGATGATAAGATTAGGAAGAAAGAAGAGGAGGAGTAGGGTAAAAGAGGATTCTAAAAAGTGGACATCAGTTGTCGTTCTTTTTTCTCGTTCTCTCAATTTTTCAATTTTTTATTTTATTGATATCATTACCGAAAATTTTGCAGCTTTTTTTTTTTCAATTTCTTTTTGTTTTATTTCTCTCAGTTTTTTTATCTGTCCCAAAACGAATGTCTGTAGCGTTGTCGTGATTGTTGTCAACGGAATGTGAACAGCACTACCATTTGGTGATGTGATACAGTCAAAAAAAGAAATTTGAATTGAACGGCAAGCAGCACATTGTTTTTGAATATGTTAAGAGATGGTGGTACGGCTATTTATTTTGTGACATATTGTTGATTTGAATTTATCTTTTCTTTTGCTAACTACATCAGGTTACTTGATTTGTGTCGAGCAGTTCAAAAACCGAGGGATGATCGGTCAATATTATTTTTGCTGTGATTATGATTACTATCACTGTTACTGTTATTACTGTCGGTTTTGTTGCTGTTACTGTCATTAGTGATCGCAGTGATTTGACAGAACGAAGGTATTGCTGGTATAACAAAGCACTGTTTCAAACATTTCCGTGTATAAAAGGTATATCCATTTTGCAATTGACTAATATTTCTGAACCGATTCTTCAGCAACTAATTATTAGGTGTTAACTGGTGTTAATGAATCATTTACTTTTGTAAAAAGAAATTATTTAAAACTGTTTTTGGAGGATATCATAAATATGTATAAAGTATAAAGCTAAACTTTTATTGCGAAATTTGCATCTATCTGGTGTCTTTTTAGCTGCTCTTGGATACCTGTGGCAGTAATTGGTGTTACTTGGATGACAGCTATTTTTTGCAGTTGTTAAATAATACAGGTTGGCACTTTCTTTTATCGCCTCTTTTTTTTTTTTCGCAGTATATCTCTAACAATAGGAAAATTTTGAAAGCAATTCATTTAATTGGTTATCCACTTTTTTGGTGGAGTGATAAGATATTGTAAAATAAATATGAATATTGGTGTTCTTTTTGTTTAAATTTTTGGCTCTCGGAAGGAATAGTGGTCATTATATTTGAAAAAGAAATGAAACGGGCTATTCGTTTCTTCAGTTTTTTCGCTTTTCTTTATTACTGGTGTTTAGCTGATATTGTACATTTACTGTATGATATGATTGCTTTTAAGAGCTATCTTTCTCATAAACATCGTTTGCTAAATATTAGCCAACTTGTATTTTGTTAAGATTATTCTTAGACGAAAGCAAAAAAAAAAAAAAAGAAGAAAAAAAATTAGAATGCAAACTTTGTTCAGTGAAAAGAAGAAAACAAAAAAAGTAATCAGCAATAGCAGTAGTTGCAGCAAAACTGTTATAAAATATAAATGTAATCTTTTTTCATTCCACCGTTCTTTTTTTTTTTTTTTATTTTGTTTGTTTATAAATTTAAGAATGGCGGAAAGAGAGA